GGGGAAAAAAAAACATGATATAGAGTGGGGGAACTATGATTTTCCTATTGGGTTTTATAATGGGGTTTTTCAATTTATGAGTAAAATAAAGCCTGTGGTTAACTTGACGATACTTTTACGTTTTGTTCTAAAATGTAAATTACACGCATCCATACCCAAAACACACATTTTGAAGCTGTTCGTTTTTGAAAACGTATGTTTTTAATAAGTAACTAGATAAGAATGTTTTGGATGTGAGTGTGTGCTGATTACGTTGTAGAAGAAAATGTAAAAGTATCGTCAAGATATGTTTACCACATAAATTGAAAAGTGTCATTATAAAACCCCATAGGAAAATCTCGAAGGAGCCCGCGGCAAATTACTCTTCCGGTTTCTGACGTCATAGTTCCCCCTCTCAATAGAGATATGCTTTTTAAGAGTTTAAAGGGACTCCCAAAAATGAAAACTCTGTCATTGTTACCTCACCTTTAAGTCATTTCAAACCTGTATGCATTTGTTTCCTCTGTACAACATGAATGAAGATATTTTGAAGAATGTTGGTAACCAAACAATGTATGGACAAAAAATACAATGGAAGTCAATGGGAACCAAAACTATTTGGCTACCATCAATGTCTTCTTTCATGTTCCAAAGTCATATAGGAATTGACTTTTAGAATGCAATGAGTGATAGATGCTGATAGAATTTTCATTTTTGTGTGAACTATCCCTTGTATATAACTTGTATTGAACTTGAGCCCTGCATTTCTAGAATGCTGTGCCCTGTACGAAAAGCTGCAAAAGATGCGATACGCGAATGCAAGAGTGAAACACATCCATCTGTTTATGCAGAAAAACTATAGAAAAGCAGTGTGGTGGAATGAAACCGTGCATTCAGTTTTAAACTCTTGACTTGTCACCTAAGAAGTGTTTACCATACTTTCTGGAAAAAAGTCGCACAGGGTCAAAATTGGATTGTTGAGAAAAAAAACACATATATATGTTGCATCAGTGTGTGTGTATAGGTCCTTGCACACCGAGTCCGAAATTCTCATATGAAATTTTCACATGTTAAAAAATAAATACAACCTCATGTTGTGTCAATCACATTTATAACACTTTCGTCCGTCATAAAAAAAATTGGATCAGGTTCGATTTTCTGCATTTTTGCATCCGTAGCAAGCATTTTGATAGGCAAGAGTGACGAATACGGAAAAAACCCCCCGAAAATAATGCATACAAACATTTCGGTCACATTTTATTACTACATTCAAAAATAATGTTAAATATCGATAAATCAAACTTTACAAACATTATAATCACTATAAACATTATAGTGGCATTCATTATTCACAACATTTATTATAAGCGCCACACCTATAAGCAAATTAGTTTTAAAGCAAAACTGAAACAGCGTTGGGCTAACGTACTACAGTACTAACTCGGCACGAATCCGTACGTTTACATATTCGCGATGTAGCCTAACATTTGGTTGCTAATAGGGATGTAACGATTAACCGCGAGCCGGTTGAAAATCGATTTAAATATGTTACGATTCAAATCGGTTGAGATGCTAAACAAATCGGGATTACTGTCTTTCGATGGTGTTTTTTCTTTTCATCTTGCCTCTTTATAATGCATATTAAAGTTCATAAGTGCAGCGCTGCTTTGTTTACAGCAGAAACCAAGGAAACACTTTAAGCGCCACCTGCTGGCAGCGAGTGAATCTGCGTCTCGTTTGCTGTTTCAGTTTCATGCAGATATTTTTTATGCATAATTTCACAAAACTGAAGTCAAACCATTCTGTTTTTGCTTCAAATTTCGATATTATACAATCTAATTTAGATTAAAAACTGCTCATGTTGCATGTATGCAGCATC